CACAAGATTAAATACTTTGGAATAAATCTCATCATAAGCACAAAGGATCTATTCACAGAAAATTCCAAAATATTACTACAAGAAACAAAAAGAGACCAGGAAATGTGGTAGAATATCCCTTGCTCTTGGATAGGAAGACTCAATATTGTGAAAATGACAATACTGCCAAAGGCAACTTCCACATTCAGTGCAACCCCAATACAAATACCAATCCCATTCTTAAACAAGGTGGAAAAGGCAATCTCCAATTTCATTTGGAATTGAAAGAGGCCCCAAATAAGGAAAGGATTCCATAAAAAGAGAAAGAAGGTAGGAGGCATCTCACTCTGTGATTTCAAATCCTGCTACACTGCCATGATGGTCAAAACAACATGATACTGGTACAATAACAGACACATAGATCAATGGAATAGAATTTAGAATCCAGGAATCAGCCCATCTACCTATGGTCAACTGATTTTTGACAAGGAGATGAAATCAGTAAAGTGGGGAAATGACAGTCTTTTTAAACAAATGGTGTTGGCAAAATTGGAAATCTGCAGAAAACCGAAGTGAGATTCTCATCTCACTCCATACACAAAAACCAATTCAAGGTGGATCATGGGCATAGGACTAAAACCAAGGACTATAAACTTCATTAAAGAAAAGCTTGGAAGAACGCTAGAAGTCCTAATGCACGACATACACAATCTTCCAAGCATCTTGAAAAAATCTACAACCAGGAGATGATAAAATAGATGAATGGGATCTTCTAAAAATCAAATCCCTCTTCACATTCGAAAACTTCTCCAACAGGGTAAAAAGGGAAGCCACAGACTGGGAAAGAGTATTTGATAATGACATGTCTGATAAGGGACTTTTATCTAGAATTTATAAAATACTCGAGCACCACCACAAGATAAAAGTAAATAATCCAATTGAAAGATGTGCACAGAATATGAACAGATGCTTCACCATAGAAGACATTCAAATGGCAAACAAATACACGAAGAAAGGTTCCAAATTCCTAGCTTTAAGAGATACGCAGATCAAAACAGCTATGAGGTATCATCTTACCCCAGTAAGAATAGCAAAACTTAACAGAACAGCAAAGAGCAAATGCTGGTGAGGTTGCAGAGAAACTGGAACCCTTATTCACTGTTGGGAGTGTAAAATGGTGCAACCACTATGGAAGGCAGTATGACACTTTCTCAAAAAGTTGCAAATAGAAATACCATTTCACCCAGCAATTCCACTACTGGGAATATATCCTAAAGAATCCACACCTGCCGTCCAAGAAGATATATGCACATCTATGTTTATTTCGGATTTGTTCACAATAGCAAAGATTTGGAAACAACCTAAGTTGTTTTGGAAACAACCTCAACCTATCAACAAATGAATAGATAGAGAAGCTGTGGTATATTCACACAATGGAATACTATGCTGCATTAAAAAACAAGGAACTCATGAAATATTATACAAAATGGGTGACCCTGAAGGACAGTATGCTGAGTGAAATATCTCTGTCATAAAAAGACAAATACTGCATAATGCCACTGTTATGAAAGAGGACTGATATGGGGGTTAGGGGAGAATGACAAAGAGGGAATTAATAACGTATACTGCATTGAAACACATGAGTGAGATAACAGTTTAAAAGGGATATATGACTAGGTATTATTGTTACGATAGTTCAAAGTGAAGGAAGCATAGTGGAGTGGACTTGGGGGGAGGGATTGCATAACAATGAAAGAATTTTTCTTTTACTTTCAAAAAGAAGAGTGAATTGGGGGGAGGGGTGCACAGTGAGAGAAGTGCAACGATGAATGAGTGGAAATTTTTAAAAAAGGTGAATTTTATGGTAGATAAATGACATTTTAATTATAGCATTCTATGTAAAAAAAGTTTTATAAATGTTAGAAAAAAATTCAAAAAGAAAGCTCATTTTCCTTGAATGCAAAGACTTCTACAAATCAGTATGAGGAAGAGAAATAATTTAAGAAAACTATCTCCTAAGCATTAAGTAATCATTTTCTATTTATGTGTTTATTTGTTGATTGTGTGTTTGCTATGTCCTGATTTTTTTTTTGGTTTGTTTTATTTTGATCTCTTAGAGCTGTCCAAACAGGTCTACACTGCTAATTGGTAGTCTGGAAGCATGGTAGCACTCACCACCCGTTGGCAGGGCGGTGGTGGACAGGGTGAATGCATGTCACTGTTTACCGGGCATGTGGGGTGGCCAGGAACTGACTAGACAGGTAGTGCTGCCACCTGTGCTTGCCCAGTGAGGTGCGATCACAAGAGGGCACACTGGGTGGTGGGGAGTGGGAGCATGATGTGGCTGGAAGTCAGAGAAATGCTAGTGCTCCCTGCTGTTTACTGGGTGTTTTGGACGGTAGGTATGATGGGTGATCAGAGATGTGGAGGTGCTTCCGGATCCTTGTCAAGGGTGTTCAGTGGAGGGCAGGGACGTGGTGGATGACTGGGAATATGGGATGCTCTGTACTGTTCTGATGGGTTGTCAGCACACTGAGTGGTGGGTTGTGGTGGGTAACTGGCAGCTCCAGAACACTTACTACAACTTGCCAGGTGGGCAGAATAGAGGAGGCAGAGGTTGCAGAGGTGGAGGAAGTGGGAGGAGGGGAAGCATACTCTTCTAGATTTCCTGTTGGCTGTAGGCAGCTGTGGGAACAGGTAGCAACCAAGGGTGTGTGTGTGTGTGTGTGTGTGTGTCTGTGTGTCTATCCGAGTCCAGTCAGATGCAGGGCCTTCAATTGACACTGGGGATCTGTTACTCCGCGCACACCGTCCACTCTGATAGTAAGGGATTGTCTTGCCTTTGGATTCTGGCTCTCCTCTTAGATCTAGCTTCCATCTTGTTCGCCTTGCTCTGTCAATGTTTTCACAGTTTCCATGTGTCCTATGGGAAATTCTGTGAAGTTGCCCTCCTTCTCTTCCTCATTGGGGATTGATTGTTGCGGGCTTTGTCTCAAGATGGGCACACTGTGCTGGGCTAGCTGCAAGGTATCTTCAGGTTCTATGTCTCCTCATTTGCATGTTTTGTTCAATTTCTTCCTTCTCTCAGAGTTTGATATAATTCTTTATCCTCCCACTTGCTTCTCAAGATTCCAGGATTGTCATTTGTATGTGTTGCATTTGCTGTTTTTGTTGTAGAGTGACAGCACAGTGTATCTGACTAAGTCGCTATCTCCTCCTTGTTCTTGATTTTAACAGAATTTACCTTAGGGCTTCACGAATCAGTGCTAGATTTTACTTTATTATCTACTGTAAGAAACATGTGCATGTAATCATATTGTCAGGGGGCATGATTTCTAAGGAAGTCCAAGGGTGTCTTCAAGTAAAAACAAGAAAATTCTAACTCAGGTGTGAGACTTTCATAGAATGAGGCCACAAGAAGGCACAGAATGAGTGCAAACAAAAGGAACGGGTTAATTAGACAATTATAACAGACTGTGAATGTGTTAGGAAAGGACTGACGCTATTCCTATCTTACACAAGAGTTCTTATTCTAGTGTAACATATTCTTTCCAGAAGGGATTTGGGTAGCACAGCTGTGCATGTTCTTGTTATGTGCCATCGAGTCACCTGCAACTTATAGTGACCCTATGTACAAACAGCTCTGAAGTCTGCCCCATTCTGGACCAGTCTCACTGACTCTGACACATCTACCCCAACTGCCCCAATTACTATACCTATCCATCTCTTCTAGGGCCTTCCTCTCCTGCGCTGCCCTCTACCCTTCAGAGAATGATGTCCCTCTCCTGGCTGTGTGCCCAAGGAATGTAAGACAGAGCTTCAAAATCCTAGCCTTCAAGGAGAAACTTGGTTTCACTCTTTCTAGGACAGATCTATTTGTTTTCTTGGCAGTCCATGGTATGTTCAAGACTCTTCTCCAGCACCACAACCCACAGGCATCAATTCTTCTTCTGTCATCTTTAGTCATTGTCCAGCTTTCTGACACATAGCAAGTTAATTGTAAAGACTATGGTCTGGATCAAACTCACCTGTTTCTAGACTGACATTGTTGCTTCTCAGTACTCTGGACTATGTACTCAGTACTATGTCCCTGACCATAGATTTTCCCAGTGCAATTTGTATTTTGATTTTCTGACTGATGCCAAAAGTGTTGATTGTGATGCCGAACAAGCTGAAATTAAGAACCCGCTTCTCTTCTCCATCCATCATGGTGCTGATCTTTGTCTTCTTGATGTTGAGCTTCAATCTATATTGAAGACTACAGTCCTTGACTTTCTGCTTCTGATTCTTCAGCTACTTTTTTTTTTTTTGGTTTGTGGTGGTTTTTTTTCTGTGGTTTTTTTTTTTTTTTTTTTTTTTTGTGGATGAGTCTGATTTTCTTGTATTTTATTTCCACTATCACATCATTACCCAGAACAGTTCCTGGTTGGGTTACTTGTCAGCATTTCCCTGGCTATCAATATCAAGAGATATCTGTTCTTTACCACTAATATCTTTCTAGTAAGCTTACTTTTAAAAATTGTGAAATATATTTTACCGTTTGTTAAATTTCTTTGCAGTGTTTATTGAAAGCTTATAATATCACTTTTTGCTTTTTTAATTTATTGATATCATGTTATACTTAAGAACTATTGACAATTATATTTTACTTCTTTGTTTAGGCCTTTGAAAATACTCTATTACATTTTTTAAAATAATATCTGTTAATATACATAGGCAGCAGTATTTTTTACTTTATTATTGAATTATATGCTTCTAAAATGATGATTTTATAAATTTTACAAAAGGAATTAGTAGGAATTTTCCTTATAAAAAGAAAAGGTAGTTTTTATAATTTCTTGTGTATATGATTCTTTCATGTGATTTGGGTAAAATATCTAAGTAAATTTTGGTGAATAGGATGGTGGACTTTTTCCTAGAAAACAAGCTATTTCAAACGGGGTAAAACAAATAAAAAATTAAGGTGACTACATATGACAAATAAAGATTTCATACAACTAATGAAAAGAATTACTACTTACTTCCATTCCCAGAAGTTTAAGAGCTTTAGGCTGCATAATGAAAACAGAAAAGAAATCATTTTACACACACACACACACACACACACACACACACACACACAATGCGAACAGCAACAATATAAGTGGAACATTAGTGATATTAAGTTTCAACCCCCCCTCAACCTCAAACTCACTGAGTCAGAATTAACTCATTATTTCGTTGAGTTTCCAAAGCTGTAAGGAGAGATTACCCTTCATTTCTCCTTCTAGCCGCTTGTACATTTGAACCACCAACGAGTGGCAGCCTTTGGATTAGCTCCCTGTATTTAGGTTAACATTAGGCATAATGATAAGCTATACTTGGCATCATTGGCAATTCATGACAATATACAAGGATATAAAATGTTTTAATCTGAAAACTTTTTATTAGCAGTAGTCAACTGGGGAGAGTTGCACAAAAGGAACCCATATTTCAGACAAAATTAAGCTAGATCTGAAGCAGCAATCCAGACTCAAGAGTTTTGACTCTGAGAGGAAAGGACAAGGCTGCTTCAAGAAGTTTATATAGTTTGTAATAGGTTTTCAATACTTGCAAGAATTTTAAACAGTCACACTAGGGAGAAGAACATGGCAGGCACATCAATTCAATTTTGAAGAGGTCCATGGGGTGGAGATAGGAGTAGTCCACCATGGTGGGTAGGGACGGGTAACAGAGAAGTGCAGTTCCTCAATGAGTTTGACTATGATACTTCAGGAATTGAGGAACACTAGGAGTTTTTGAGGAAGGCTAGTGCCGCTAGATCTCTTCCTGTGGAAGATTACGGAAGCTAGTGAAAACAGATTGGAGAGAACAGATACAGCAGCAAGGGAACTTGGGAGAAAGGTGACAGCAGGTAAAGAAAAAGGGCGGATGTAATTAATAGACTTTGCTGTCTGATTTGGTAAGTGAATGGAGAGTGACTGAATGTTTAAGCCTGGATGTTGCAAGATCCAAGAGTCATGGTAGGAAGAGAGGAAGATGTGCGTGAGGCGGACTGGAGAGATTTCTGTCACGATAGTGAGGTTTCACAGCTGAGCTAATGGAGCAGGTGGAAAGACACGTGTGCTGGGGGGCAAGGATTAATTTGGCTTTTTGAACAGACTAAGTTATTAAAAAAGATAGTAAGAAGCCCAATGTGATTCCTGAAACCACACAACAACACAGAGTAACTTAGTTCTACCCTCTTTGGCCCAAATAAGTTGTTGTAAAGGGTCCGAAAACTTTTGCGAGTGTAGTTGCAGCGGTAGGCTCCTCCCATGAGGTACTCAAGCACCAGCCCTATGTCGATGAGGCTGATGTGGTAATCAGGCGGAAGGTTTCCCTGTTAAGAAAGAGGTTTGGTCTGAGTACTGTAAAAATGCATTTTAAAAAGTCACTTGCTTTGAGTCTACTTCCACTAATGGTGAACCCATATGTGTCAAAATAAGGTTTTCAGTGATTGATTTTTCAGAAGTACACCATGAACTGGACCTACAACCTTATAATTTCCATTATCAAGTGCATTGATTGTTTGAATCACTTTGGGTCTCTAAGAACAACACAGTCACAATGCTGAATTCATCACATGCTTTACTTTAACTAACTGATGATCCCTAGCTCCAACTTGGGAGTCCGTACGACCAGTGGTATACTAAACAATATTCAGCCTATTACCATGTGATTGGGGAAGACAATGCATTCATAGAAAACCACTTTCTAAAGCGAGGTTTTACTCCCTGCTCAAATCCAGAATACAGCAGAGGTTCTTATATTATTAGAATTATGAATTTGGCTGAAAGAAAACCAGATTAGCTAGGACTCTGACTTAAAACTATTACATCGTTTGAATTAGTTTTTCTTATTCAGAATATTAATAAGTGTGGCACACTTTGCATGCTAGGGGCTTTGCACTAGAAAAATTAACGATTTTTATATTGTTTTTATTACTGTCTCTGAATCTTCCCTGTGTCATGACAACTCTAAGCACAAATTAATGAAACATTATCCAGTACCGACTCTCCTGGTCATCTGTGGATCTCAAGTGAATCATACTGTTTTCACAGGCTGATTTTCAGAATTCCTTGGCTAGGCCTTTCTTCCTAGTCCATTTTATCCTGGAAGCTAAAACCTGCTGAGCTTCTAAACAACAGCACATGACCCAACTGGCTGTGAAGAGGTGATATGCCTGGATGTCCCTGCTTCTTTCTCTTCTGGTTAGCTGCCATTAAGTCGACTCAGACTCATAGAGACCCTGTGTGCAACTGATAGAAACGTTGTGCAATCCTGTGCCATTTTCACAATCTCCACTATGCATAAACCATAGCTGCAGTAGACACAGTGTCAGTTCCTCTTGTTGAGTCTTCCTCTTCTTCTCAGGCCCTCCACTTTTTCAAGAGTAACATCCTTTTCTAAAGACTAGCCTACATTGATAACATGCCCAAAGTAGGTGATCAAAACTCTCACCACCCTTGCCTGTAAGGAGCACCATGATTACACTTTTTCTAAGATAGATTTGCTTATTCTTTTTTAAGTCTATGGTATATTGAGTACTCTTCACCAAAACACCACAATTGAAAGGCATTAATTCTTGTGTGGTCTTCTTTATTCTTTGTCCAAATTTTACAAGTTTATGAAGCAATTGAAAACATCGTAGCTTGGGGCAGGTGCAACTTAGTCTTTAAACTTTACATCCTTGCTCTTCAATACTTTAACGGTCCTCAACACCAGATTTCCCCAATATATCTTTTCTTTTCGTTACTGTTGCTTTCATGAGTATTGACTGTGGATCTAAGTAAAATGAAATCCTTAAAAAGTCAATCTTCCCCCCCCATTTATCATATTGACTTAAAAATTCAATCTTCCTCCCCCCCATTTATGTTCTGTTGTGAAGATTTAGATTTTCTGTATGTTGAGGTGTAATCTACTTTAAAAGCTGTAGTCTTTGATCTTTTCCCGTATTTCAAGTCCTCTGCTTTTTGATAAGCATGGTTATGCCACATGTATAATGCAAGAATCTTCCTCCAATCCTAATACTACAGTCTTCTTTATATAAACCTGGTTCTCAGATTATTTGCTCAGTATGCTTATTGAATATTTAAATATTCATAGTTGAATATTTCATTAAAATTGAAAAGACACAACTCTAAGGCAAACCTTTCCTGATTTTAAAACATGTAGTATCTCCTTGTTCTTTTTGAACAATTGCTTCTTGTGTAGGTTCCACAGAAGCACAATGAAATGTTTGGGAATTCCTATTTTTCTCAATGTTAGCCGTAATTTATTATGATCCACATGGTTAAATGCCTTTGTGTAGTCAATAAAACAAAAATAAACATCTTTCTGATATTCTTTACTTTCAGTCAAGATCTATCTGATATTAGCAATGATAACCCTTGGTCCAGAGCTACTTCCCACCCCCCATACTTTTACTTTAAATTTATTTATTAATTTTACTGAAAGTTTACAGAGACTTAGGAGTTCCAGTCATTCATTGTTGCACTTTTCTCCCTGCCTACCCCTTCCCCCGCAAATCACTCTTCTCCTTGAAAAGAAAAAGAAAGACTCTTTTATTGTTATGCAATCCGTCCCCCCAAGTTCACTCCACTGTGCAGCCTTCACTCTGGACTTCTGTAATGACAAGAATAGCCATTCATATATCTATTATATCATATATCCATATATCGCTCCTTCAGCTGTTTCAGTGCGATATACATCATTCCTCCCCTCCTTTTCTGTCTTCCCTCAACCTCGATGTCAGTCCCGTTTTACAAAGTGGCCCTATGAAACTGGATAAATTATGTATATTGTATTGATACACATGAGGGAAAGAACAGATTAGAGGTGATATATGATTATTATGGTTAGCATAGGAATCCAGAATTAAGGTTGCATAGAGAAGTGTACTCGGGGTGGGGGAAGGGATGTGGGAATTGTATACTAATGAAGGAATTTTTTTTTTCTTTTCGGAGTGGGGAGCGAGCTGGTGGGGAGGGGTGGGCAGGGAGAAAAGTGCGGCAATGAATGAATGGAAATCCAAAACCTCTGTAAATGTCTATTAAAATTATTATAAAAAAATAAAAAAAAAACAAAACAAAAAAACCAAAGTGGCCCTAGGAAATATTTGTCCTTTTGTGACCGAGATATTTCACTCAGCATAATGTCCTCCAGGATCATCCATTTTGCATAATATTTCATGAGTTCCTTGTTATTCAATGCTGTATATAGCATTGTGTGAATAAACCAGAGCTTCTCTATCCGTTCATTTGTTGGTGGTGCACTTAGGTTTTGTTTCCAGCAGAGCTACTTTTGAATCCAGCTTTATTTTTTACCAATGCCTTCTTCAGTACAGCTTTAACTTCTTCTTTCATTAGCATTGGTTCTTAATCATGTGCTACTTCCTGAAATGGTCCAGTGTCCACTAATTCACCTATTGTGCTTCTGGAAAGGTGCACTGAGGTTAAGTAAGTGCCTTATGTAAACAGAGAGTTTCATTGATTGTATTGCTCCAGGTGGTAGGTACCATGGCCATTTCACCTTGCTGTGGCCCATATAATGACACCAGCATGAAAGCAAGCCAGTCATCAACACATCCCTAGAGTTTGAGTGGATGAATACTCAAATTTAAAAAGAGTAATTTCAAGTCAACTTTTTATGTGAGGGAAGAAAAATACAATGTCACTTATGCCACAAACAATGAGAATTCTATTCATCTTGGAATATATAAGAGACTTTTATATGAACTTTATAAGTAAACCAGTGTAAAATGGAAATTTCATTTATGTTTTTAAAATACTACCTTTTTGACATCTCTCACCAGCAGATGAAGTGTGTTTGGTGGACCAAGCCTCTGTAAGAGAAACATTCAGCCATGTCAGATGTATTTTTTTTCTTTAATTTTTTTATTAAAAGCCCACCTTTCTGTGTAGAATGAAAGGATTATTATAGTTGGGCTGTGGTTCACATCAATCTAGTTTTTTCTCCCCTTATTTGAATTATTATTTTAGAGAAGTATATATAAAATTTAGCAGGAGTGACATTCACTTCTAAATAACATGCCTCTGCAAACTCTATGAACTTTGATAAATGATGATAGTTATAGAAAGGCCTCAGGCCTTTTGTTCATAGGGTTGCTATGAATTGTGTTTGACTCAATGGCAATCAACATCAACAACAAGTTCAGTGACATAAATTATTTTCTGCATCTTGTGCACATTTTACCAGTATCACCATTGGCAGAAGCTCAGCGCATACAAATCAGTAATGGTCCTCTTCACCTCCCTCCTGATCCTGGTCTCTAGCACACTTTGGTCTCTAGGCCTTGATTCTTTCAAAAGGCAGAACTGGTAATGGTTAAGTATACAACACATTAAAATACATGTGAAGTTCCTTTTAGTAACTTATTTTAAAACCTATTTTGTTTATTATTTACAATATTGTGTTTAAAATTTACAAACACATTGTTGCAAGTAATTACAGAGGGTCATTTCTATGACTTAGAATTTCAGAACATAGAAGAGAATGTAATCCTCAAAATTCATGTTGTAATCATAAACCGAGGAAATTTCATTCAGCTACTTTCAGTTGAATACAGTGGTGCTTATTATTGTGAGCATTTCTCAGTGAGGCCTAATGTTAGAAAAGTTAATTACAAGAAAAAAATGAGTGCTCAGCTCTGGGAGGTTTTCACTCTGCTAATAACTTATGTGCTCTGGTGGCCTAGTGGTAATACGCTGTGTGGCAATCCCAGTTCAAACCCAACAGCTGCTCTGTGGGAGAAGGATGGACATTCTCCTTCCATGTGACTTATTGCCTTTGAAAACCTACTGGAGTGTCAGCACTGGTGGGTTCCAACTTGATGCAACACAATGATAACAACAATGTGTCATGAGAGTTATGGCAGCTTAGTGACTAAGAAGTTGTGCTGCTTACATTTTGAATCCACCAGCTGCTCCAAAGAAGAAAGTTGCAGTCTTTTCTCATCTACAGCTTCGGAATATCCACTGACGGGTCAGCTGTGAGCCATTTCTAACATAACAGCAATGAGTATGAGGGTTTGTGTTTTTGGTTGGTTTTTTTTTTTAATGAATTATGAAGCTAGACCACCTCTTTTTATGAATGCATCTTAAACCTCAAATTCAAACACTCTGTCGTTGAATCAAAATCTACTCATAGGTTTCCACAGCCTGTCAGTTGCATAGGAGCAGACTGCCCGTTTTCCTCTCGCAGAGCTGCTGGTGGATACACACTGCAGAAGGCTGTCTTTGAGTTAGCAGCACAGTTCATTCACCTGCTAACCTAAAAGTTGGTGGTTTCAGTCCACTCAGCTGATGTTAATTATCTTTGAGTTAGTCCATCTAAAATCATGTATGCAGAGAAGAACTGCTTTATGTTTGCAAGGCTATCACAGTCTAGAAGCAGATTTCGAGGTGAGTCTGAGTAGCTTCAAAATGCTAATCAAATTTTTAACCATTTATGCACCATCTGGAGACTCCTCACTCAGCAGTACTGCAGAAATAAGACCTAGAAAAGATCTCATTCATGTGGGGCTGCAGTGATTGGAATCAACCTGATGTCATTGGGTTTGGTTTTTCAGTGCGTTCATACATCACACCCTTTTGCTCCACAAGTGCTAATACTGCTCCAGAAGTTGGGGTTAATCTAGGTAGGGTGATAGCTCATAAAAATGCAAATAATCTGTGACTAGCAACAGGACAAAAACAGTGGGTGTCAGTGAGTATTGGCACTCCCAGATGATCTTGTGCCAGCCATTATTGTATGCTCATTTGAGCCCTTTTCTCCATAAAGTCACCCTCCATGTTGATGGCTAACTTCTCCATCCAGCCCTCTGTCTGAAATACTCACTGTGTTATAAAGCTCTTCCAGCCTTGGAATGGTGAGGAAGTGCTGCATGTTCACTCCATTTTCAATCAGAAGCTTCACAAAGTCCACACGATCTAACACAAGTGCATCAAGCATCGCTTGCTCCAGAGCATTCACCTGCAGAAGCCCAGGAAATGGCCATGAGAGCCTCAGAGACACGACGTGGGGAGCTGGAAACACCACAGGGAGGGTGTTCTGTTCCCCAAAACTTAGAGCAGTAGTCTCAGTGTGGTTCTTTTTGCTCTTGTTATTACTCCTTCTCCTTTCCTCTCTGTCAAGCCCCTGGAGTTCTATTGAGGTATCAAAATTTGTAAATTATTTTTTCCTTTCAAAAACAAATTGGAGAGAATTAAAAATTTCAGTCAAGATAACAATGCTCACTCCAGTTCGCAGTTTCCTTTCTTGACTGGAAAAGCCTGAGCTGGCAGGCTAGCAGGCCCTAGTTCCCCCCCAGTGCTGTGTTGGGTGGCCTCACTGTGCCTGCGGCACAAAGGTCACTGCAGGGCCTCAGTGCCCTGACCACGGTTCTTGGCAGTAAGGCCAACAACTGCCATGAACTACTGGCTTCAGCTTTTTTTTTTTCTTTTTTCTGCTTTTGCCCCAAACAATGATACTGTCTTTACACACCCATTCATAGGTCCCACATCTTTCAAAAAGGTCTTGTTTCCAACTCACTACTAAGTCACCAGAGTTCCCTTGTAGTCCCAAAATTTCCCACATACCCAATTCAGTAGCTCAATTTTCCTGGGATCAGTTTCTTCTTCTACTTCCTCTTTCACTTTCCCTTTTTTCTTGCCTTTCCCTTTTCCTCTGCCTCCCTTGGTGGTTGCTGTGGGTGGCTTCTTCTCCTTCTCTGTGACCTTGCTATCCGTTGGGGGTACTAAGCTTCCCAAGGGCTGCAGTCCATAACAAACAAAGTTTGGGAGAAATATTAAAGGTCTTCCTAGGGAAAAAATTTTTTTTCTTCCTAGGTTAAAGACAAGTACATGTATACATACACACATATGTACACACACTGAGATAGCTGGCCTGACTGATTGACGGGGGAAATTCCGATATCCTGATCTGTTATTATTTATATACAAAAATATACACTTGGTTTGAAGACACAGTTTTTTGTATTTTAAACACCTGACTAAAATACATTTTAAGTTATTTTAACTGAGGTGCCTTTTTACAAAAAGATAATGAAAAAAAGGACAAAGGGACTGAAGACAGATGCGCTTATAGAGGCTGTGATGGTTAATGGTGTGTCACTTTGGCCATGATTCACTGGGTTGGTGTTTATATAATGCAGTAGTGTGGCAGTTATGTAATAATGCAGTCATTTCCCATGATATAGTCTGATATGATCAGCCCTAATGTGATAGAAGAGAATTAGGATGGGGTACAACACCCTTAATCTGACCACACACTGCCCAGACTCAATGCAGGATAAGTTTCTTCAGGGCTATGGCCAACAGTGTGTGTGTGTGTGTGTGTGTGTGTACATTTTCTGGCAAAATTAGCTAGCTATTGCTCAATCTATATCCTGCATCTGACTAGTCATTTCCAGTTCTCTGGACTTGAACCAGCAGCCTGCCTTATCTCCTGACCTTGAACTTAACAGTTTCTGAAGCCAGCACAGCTATCTTCTGCTTTGTCTGACATTTTTTTTTTGGTCAACCTCTGTTGCTATTTGAACCAGGATATGCCTCTCTGTGAGGATACCCAGAGATCTAGACTTGCTCGCCTCTATAAGCTCGTGAGCCATTTTCTTGAGATAGATCTCTGTATGTGTGTGTGTGTGTGTGTGTGTGTGTGTGTGTGTGTGTGTGTATATATATATATATATATGTTGTTGATTGCCTTCGAGTCGAGCATAACTCATAGCGACCCTATGAACAAAAGGCCTGAAGCCCCTCTACAACTTATCAAAGTTCATATATATGATGCATACTTTTTAAAAGAAAAAAACCCTTGTAAACCTAGAGAAAAGACTGAAATGTCAACAATTTAGTTTTTCATTGACCCATGACAGCAGCAGCTGTGAAATTAAAAGATCTGTTTGTTTTGTTAAAAAAATCTGCTATTAAGAACCTCTTTTAAAGAACTTAAACTAAGGATGTCAGAGTAAAGACTAAGGTGACCCTTACTCAAGCCATGGTATTTTTTTTTTCTTCTTTTTCTTTTTTTTTTCCCCAGGGCCACCCAAAAGTGCTGACAGGTTAGACTTGGCCATGCGCTTTAATTCATCCTCCTTGATGACATGAGATTTGGAGGAGCCCTTGGCTGCATCATTGAGCTTGTCTGCCAGGCACTTAGCAATTGCCTTGATGTTTCGGAAGGCGGCCTGCAGCCAGCTGGCCTGGTTCACACGGTGCAGTGGAGACATGACTACAGCCTGCCACCTCACTGTCACCACTCTCACAGTATGTGTAAGGCCTCTCTGGAGCCACTATTGATGATGACATTCATTAGGACCTGAAGGAGGTTCTTGCCAGTGAGTAGGTGGATGGTCTCGAAGGTGAGCTTGACAGTGTACACGGTCATGCCAGACTTGCAGCCATGCATCTTGAGTTGGTGAGACACTCCACGACGGGGCACTAGGCCTTCGTCGCTGCAGTGTAGCCCTGCAGGGAAGTGTCATGAATCTGCACACCGTCCATGCTCCACTTCCCAAAGAGGCTAATGTCTCGGGGGTCTCAGCCACTGTGCAGATGTGGCTGGGTCCCTGTCCATCCTCCTGGAACTGAGGGCACAGCTGAGGAGTTGCTGTTGCTTGGAATGGACCATGCATCCCTGGCCAAGCCATGATATTTCTATTGCTGCATATGGATATTAAAGTTGGAATGCTGAAGAAGAATCCTTAGAAGGTTGGGAATATAAATACCATTTGATGCAGCAATCCCACTACTAGAAATCTCTACTAAAGTACAAATATTTCTACTTTATAGAAATAAAATCTCCAATGCAAAATAGTATTTACACACCCATGTATTAAAGCATTATTATAATAGCAAAGAGTTGAAAGCACTTTAGCCATTAAAGGAAAATTTGGAGACTGGATATTCCATTATAAGAAGGCAAAGGACTGTTCCAGGCTGCAGTTTGAGCTGTTTGCCTTGCCTCCTACCTCAAATAATATTGAAATTGTGGCAACGGCTATACAAAGGAAAACACCATTCGGGGGAAGAGAGGCAGATCAGAGTTATTAGGACTACTGGAAATACTGATAGGAGCTACCTGACAGGGAAAGACAGAGAGAAAGCTGGAATCCAGAACATGCAATATGGCAGTTGCTGTAGAGGTTGGAGATCACATGGAGAATGCAAAGGGAGGTGGCTGACAGAAGGACAGTCTACAGATCAGTAAATCACTCACATTGTCTCACACCTCACACTCCAGAATAGCTGCATTTGAGGTCTTCACCCCTAGCTCAGCCAGAAGCTGGAAGAATGTCTGCTGAACTATGAGATACCCTCTCACCCCAGAAACAATAGCAAAGTTTAACAGAGCAGCAAACAACAAATGCTGGTGGGGTTGTGGAGAGATTGGAACCCTTACTTGCTGCCGGTGGGAGTGTCAAATGGTGCAACCACTATGGGAGGCAGTCTGGCTCTTTCTCAAAAAGTTGCAAATAGAAATATCGTTGCACCCAGCAATTCCACTACTGGGAATATACCCTAAAGAAATCAGAGATGCCACCCAAACAGATATGCGTGCCTATGTTTATTGCTACATTATTCATAATAGCAAAGAGATGGAAACAACCTAAGTGTCCACCAACAAATGAGTACATAGAAAAACGGTGGCATATTCACACAATAGAATACTATGCAGGACTGAAAAACAATGATCTCAGAAAACAGTACACAACATGAGTGACCCTGGAGTGAATGGAGTTATGCTGAGTGAAATATCTCCATCACAAGAGGACAACTATTGCATAACACCACCACTGTTATAAAGCAAGACTGACTTTGGAGGTTGGGGGGAAGCTAGGAAAAAAGAGGATAGATAATGAACACTGCATTGGAGCACATGCGGGAAAGAACTATTTAAAAGGAATATGTGATTAGGCATTATATATATGACAACAGTCCAGAATAAAAGGCACATTGCAAAGTGAACTGGAAGAGGGGAAGGATGTGGAAGGGTAGAAGGGAGGAGATTTTGTAACAATGAGTGAATATTTTTTTAAAAAACAAAGTGAAGTGGAGAGAGGAAAAGCAACAATGAATGAATGAAAATCAATCTTTTCTATAAATTTTCATTAAAGTCACAATTTAGAAAAGCAAAAAAATATTAATAATAATTCTGGGGAGGTAGGTTGAAAAGGTTGAAACGATTATCTGGGAGGACGGGCTCTATGAGGAGAAATGTGGTGTCAGGATTGGTGGAAGATCTATCAACAATATGCATTATGCAAATAACACAACCCTGCTTGCTGAAACTGAGGAGGACCTGAGGCGCTTGCTGCAGAGGTTCAAGGACTGCAGCCTTCAATATGGATTGAGGCTCAATATCAAGAAGACAAAGATTATCACCACTGGACCAATTGGCAGCATCGGGATGGATGGTGAAGAGATTGAGATTGTTCACAGCTTTAGTTTGCTTGGCTCCACAGTCAACAATCTTGGCATCAGTAGCCAGGAAATTAAAAGACGTATATTGCCATGGCAAAGTCTGCTGTTAGGGACCTCTCTAACGTACTCAAGAGCAACGGTGTCTCTCTGGAGACTAAGGTGCGCCTGATACAGGCCATGGTCTTTGCAATCACTTGTTATGTGTCAGAGAGTTGGACAATGACTAGGAAGGATAGAAGGAGAATTGACGCCTTTGAGCTGTGGTGCTTAAGAAGAGTATTGAGGGTACCATGGAAAACAAACAGATTCATCCTGGAGAGGGTTAAACCGGGTGGCTCCTTGGAGGCAAGGATTCTGAGGCTTCGTCTGACATACTTTGGACATGTTGTAAGGAGGAATCAGTCCTTGGAGAGGGACATCATGCTTGGTAGGGTGGAGGGACAGCGCAGGAGGGGAAGACCCTCTATGAGGTGGATTGATTCAGTGACTGGGATAATCGGGATGGGAGTATCAGAGGCAGTGTGATTGGCACAGGACAGAGCAGAGTTTAGGGCTGTTGTACATAGGGTCACTATGCGTCACAAGCGCCTCAACGGCACATAACAACAACAACAACCGGACTAGAGGAATATGAACATAGCAATGCAGTTATTCATCTAACATTCTCCATTTCTCAGGAGGAATTCCTTGTTAGTCCTCCAGGCAGGAGAAAATTCTGTTGGCAGAGTAGACCTCCCACAATAAACAGTCTTACCCCTCATTCTGACCACCTTAGTTCTAAAACTGATATCATTGCTCCTCAATAATTTGGAAATGTCCTTGACTACAGTCTTTTCCAGTGTAATACTTTTTTTTGTTACATAAACTATTTTATTTAAATAAAACCAGCAGTAGACCATCTCGCCCACACACTTGCACATGCCAAGCACGCACATACACACTCTTGTCCTTGTTCCCTTGTCCCTCTCCACTCAAAGGCCACCTCAAACCTGTGGTTCTCATTATGACCATTCTCCTTGAACCAGAGGACATGGAGACACTCGTTATGAAGGTGCCCTCCATGTGGAGGAACAGAACAGGCCAACACACACCTGTACAGAGCCCCGCTCTCCCACCAGGGTCAAACAAGAGAAAGCCTGGCTCCCTCAAGGCACTCCCATCCTGGTGTGGTTCTCACACCTCTCCCTGCAGCCTGGGAGCAGCACAAGGCACCTAGGACTGTCTGTAGAGGGTCAGGACCCAGGACTCTGCATCCCTTCAGCAGGGGACATAGGAGGCTGGGTAGCTGTACTTGAACGCTCCCCAAGGAGTCCTGGAGAAAAAAATTG